ATAGATAGGAAAATTCTACCTTTTCTGTAATTACAAGAAAAGTATTGTTTACCCCCAAACTATATTTTTCCTTATCTACAACTTAAAAATATTGTTACATCTCAAGTAATAACACCAGTTCACCCTAACCTTCTACTAGGGGTGCATGTGCCTAAAACTCTTTTGGTGTGCAACAAGTCACTGGAAGACATTACACCAAACACAACACACACATTTGTGAGATGCTGAGAACTGGAGACTGGCCTTCATTTGTTGGCAATAAATTGGGTACTGTCTATAAATGTCCTAGAGCAGGAGTGCCCAAAAGGTAGAGCCCCAGATGTTGTAGAACTACAACGTCCATGATGCTTTGCAGGCATTTAGAATGGCAAAGCATCATGGAAGTTTAGTTTTAAAACATCTGGGGATCTACCTTTTGTGCACCCCGACCCTAGAGGCTAGCACTAGCTGCTATCATCATATCGAAGCACATTGTAAACTAGTTTATCACTGGTCTTTAATACCAAGTAGACTACACATAATGAATAACTCCATTCCCTCTCTCTGCTGGAGATGCAAAAGATATGAGGGTAGCATGGCACACATTTCCTGGTCTTGCACGGCACAGCAGCAATTTTAGAAAGAGATGACCCAGCTGATGTATTTCCTGTTTGTCCAGCCTCCTCTATATGACCTCTACGGTTATCTGTTATTAGTCCCACAAGTCTATCCCTTCCACTCAAAGGTGTTAGGCTCCCTTATCTTTCTATCAGTGAGACAACTAATAGCACTCATATGTAAACAGCCCTTGAGACCCTCCCTATATAATTTAATAGAAAAAATTAATTTAGATTTGACATATGAGAAAATGGAAGTGAAAACAGTCACCCAAAGATATTATTTTACATGAATATACCTTAACTCACTAAACATAAAATATACTGGTAATCAGGCCCGGACTGGCCATCGGGCATACCGGGCAAATGCCCGGTGGGCCGCGATGGCCGTGGGGCCGAGGCCGGCAGGGGATCTCCCCGGCCGGCCCCTGCAGGGCCAGCGCTATCCGAGCGCTGGCCGTGCATAGTGCCTCCATGGGCCGGTGGGGAGATCAAAGATCTCCCTCACCGGCCCACAGACAGTGAGATGCGGCCGCCGGCTGGGTGAGGGAGGAGAGAGGACCCAGCGGAGCTCTTACAAGCAGCTCCGCCGGTCCTCTCGCGGGATTCTGAGCGTTGCTGTGGCAACGCTCAGATCTCGCGAGAGTGAACTCTAACCTCCAGGTTAGAGTTCACTCTCACCACTGGTCCACCAGGGAAGGCAGCATGGCTCCCACCTCCCCAGGCATAACGGATCTCCTCCTCCCCCTCCCAGGATAAAGGTATAAAGGTAAGAAGGGAGGGAGGGGGAAATAATTTTTTTTATTTTTTTATTAGTAAAAAAAAAAAAAATTAAATTTACATAAAAAATACATTCACACACACAGCACATCCAGACACAGCACCCCCCAGACACAGCACCCCACAGACACAGCACCCCACAGACACACACAGCACCCCCAGACACAGCCCCCAGACACACACAGCACCCCCAGACACAGCACCCCCCAGACACACACAGCACCCCCAGACACAGCACCCCTCAGACACACACAGCACCCCAGACACACACAGCACCCCAGACACAGCACCCCCAGACACACACAGCACCCCCAGACACACACAGCACCCCAGACACAGCATCCCACAGACACACACAGCACCCCAAGACACAGCCCCAGACACAGCATCCCCCAGACACACACAGCACCCCCAGGCCCGCAGCCCCAAACACAGCATCCCCCAGACACAGCACCCCCAGACACACACAGCACATCCAGGGCTGGAGCCCAGACACACACAGCACCCCCCCAGACACAGCCCCCAGACACAGCACCCCCAGACACACACAGCACCCCAGACACAGCCCCCAGACACAGCAGCACCCCCAGACTACACACAGCACCCCCAGACACAGCACCCCCCAGACACACACAGCACCCCCAGACACACACAGCACCCCCAGACACAGCCCCAGACACAGCACCCCCAGACACACACAGCACCCCAGACACAGCACCCCCAGACACAGCCCCAGACACAGCACCCCCCAGACACACACAGCACCCCCCAGACACACACAGCACCCCCAGACACAGCATCCCCAGACACACAGCACCCCAGACACAGCCCCCAGACACAGCATCCCCCAGACACACACAGCACCCCCAGACACACACATTGCACACCCAGACACACACACTGCGCACCCAGACACACACACTGTGCACCCAGACACACACAGCACCCCCCAGACACACACAGCACACTCCCACACATATACAGCACACACATATATATATATATATAAAATAACCCTCAGTGAGTTAACAGACAAAATTAGAAACCCAGAATGTGACAGCAGATAAAAACACCCTCACACACAGCACCCCTCTTACATACACACACTGCGCTCCTCACACATACTATAAGTCCAAATATATATATATATATATATATATATATATATATATATATATATATACA